GAGAGAGAGAGAGAGAGAGAGAGAGAGAGATTGGATTTATACCCCATGGCCCTTCACTACCCAAAGGAGTCTCAGAGCGGCTTACAAACTCCTTCCCCTTCCCCTCCCCACAACAGACACCCTGTGAGGCAGGTGGGGCTGAGAGAGCTCTGACAGAAACTGCTCTTTTTCAAGAACAGCTCTTATCAGAACTGGCTTGCCCAAGGTCATCCAGCCAGGTGCAAGAGGAGGAGTGGGGAATCAAACCCGGTTCTCCCAGATTAGAGTCCGCGCACTTAACCACGACACCAAACTGGCTCTCAAATATCAAATATTCTGGACAGACCACAACAGCTGTGTCTGTGGTTAGGCTACAGGGTTGCAAACCCCAGATTAGAGCCTTCCTGGAGATTTGGGGGTGGAGACCGGAGAGGGTGAGGGTGCAGAGGGACTTCAGCAAAGCATCGTCCTAGAGGTTCTACCCTCTGAAGGGGCTGTTTCCTCCAGGGGAACTGATCTCTGTCACCTGGAAAACAGTTGTCATCCCCAGGAGATCTCCTGGAGGCCCGACCGGGAGACTGGCAACCCTAGGCTGGGACGGACTCACCCAAAATGAAGGCCTTGTGAAGGTTTTTCAGAGAGAATGTTAAAATGGTGTTTTCTGAGCCGCTGTCCGGGCTAAGAGAGTAGTAGGTTTTCGCGTAGTCTTGGGGGCCAAAATGCTGCAAATAGTCTTCTTTGCTGATTAAGGTCTTCTCCATGGTGGCCTTCCAGCCTGCAAGAATGTCCAACTGACCCTTGTGCCCAGTCAGCACCAGGCTTTATAGCTTCTCTGTCCCTACCCCAGTCTTGTTGATTCCAAGAACCTTCACCACCTGGCCCATCCAGACCCTTGGAGAACAGAAAATCCATCGGAGAGCTGAAGGTTGTGACTATTGTGATTGAGGAGCAATTTGTGGAGTGTCATTACAGCAACCAGGTTTACGTAAACCCCAGATTAAGCATAAGGTCACATTGCCGGCTTTCTAACTGGCTCTGCTCTTAGGCCTTAAATATTTACTTGGCATGCAGAGTTTCAGCAGTGGAAGGTGGACCAGGAGCGGAGGGAGGGAAATCTGGCCTGCTGGATTTGTTTGCCTGCCCAAGGGGGGGGGAATTGGCAACTAACTCCACCCGCCTCCTTTCGGAAAAGTCCTTGAAATTTTTTTTTTTGAAATTGTTTATTTACATTTTTTTCATCTTATACATACATTTATCTCTTCTTTATTAACATTTGGAGGTTAATTTTTCAAATTTTCCTCATACCATTTTATGGCTTTATGCCATTTCTGGTTAAATTTATCCTCTAACTTTCCAGCCAAAAACATATTTAATTTATCTAGTCCTTGAAAATTTTTATATCGCACACTTCTCCTGCCTTTCTGAATTTGCTCAAAGTGTGTTGTGTAGCGGATTCAACGCATCGAATGATCAGGAAACAGAGTGATACTCAGCACATGTTTACTAGTACACATCGTAACAATCAAATACCGGCCGGTCGGCCAACTATATACAGTCCCCTTGGCCCACCCACAGGTCCCGTTGGAGGGTTTAAACTTCCCACCAAAGTTCCTATTGGTGACCACTAGAGGTTTCAGGGTCCTAGTCCCTATTGTCTCTGAGAGCCGAGCTCAGGCATTAGTCGCTGGCGTCTGGTGGTGGTCAGCGGAAATAACAAAGTGGCTTGCAAACATCAAAGAGAAGGGAAGTTAGCCAAAAATAGGGGGATGAGAGCAGCTGACACATGGGGGCTGGGAGAAGGAAGCAAGAGGTATGCTAAGGAACGTGCCTGGAGAAGAGGGAGAGAGTTCACTATTCCTGTGCTCCCAAATCCCACCAGAGAATCACAAGACTCCAAGTATAGGTGAAATTAAAGGTAAAGGTTCCCCTTGCTCGAAAGCCAGTTGAATCCGACTCTAGGGGAGCAGTGCTCATCTCCGTTTCCAAACCGAAGAGCCAGCGCTGTCCGAAGACTAGATGCCGAGGCACACGGAACACTGTTACCTTCCCACCGAAGCGGTACCTGTTTCTTGCTTTCGAACTGCTAGGGTGGGTTGGCAGGAGCTGGGGCCAGAGATGGGAGCTCACTCCGTCATGCAGCACTTGGGTCTCGAACTGCCAAACTACTGACCTTCCGGTCTGCAGCTCAGCATCTTAACCTCTGAGCCACCACAGCCCCATCTAGGTTAAATGAGAGTTGTTCAAATTTTTGTAGCTGAACTGAAACTAATTAATACATTCCTATCTCTTGAAAATACACACACACACACACAATTTGTTTGCATTATCATTGCATTAGTAAAAACAAAAATTTAACAACCACTACAGAAATAGGTTCAATAAACACCAGTTGATAACCCCACTTATATGTAAACATAATCCTTCCTATCCTAACTTGTATACCATCGCCACCGAATCCTCAGTCCTTCGTTTTGGGCTTAACTCGAATCAATGCTTAATCTCTAAACAAATGAAACCTTTGACACAAATTCCAGTATCTATTGCCACATAGCCTGGTAACCCTTTCCATTCAATAAATAAGCCCCAAGCATTAACAAAGTCAGTAGCTGACCACCTTTTCCAAGCCCACGTATACCTACATGAAGATATCTTATTTGTAGGGTTGCCAACCTCCAGGTGGCGACTGGAAATCTCCTGGGGTTGCAACTGATCTCCAGACGATAGTGATCAGGTCACCAGGAGAAAATAGCCGCTTTGGAGAGTAGACTCTAGGGCAGGGGTGTCAAACTCATTTGTTATGGGGGCCGGATCTGACATAAATCAGACCTTGTTGGACCAGGGCCCTGTGTGTCATAAAATGTAATGCCAGGTAGCGGAGATATAACCTTTAATAAGGGACACAAACACAAAGAGGGGTTTTTTTTTACTTAAAATAAAAACATGGTCAAAATATTAGCACTCTTGCAATATTTTATTTAACAGTGTCTGATAACTGACACCTCTTGCTCTGAATTATTGCATCAAAATGTCTGTGCTGTTGCAGTCTTGAGTACACTGTTTAGGTGTGTATCTGTAAGCTGCAAACCTACAATGACGCAGCAGCAGAATTGGAAGCAGCAGCAGAAGACAGCCAGTTCCACTGCGGGCCTGATAGAAGCCCTCTGGGGGGGGACCTGATCCAACCCCCAGGCCACATGTTTGACACCCCTGCTCTGGGGCATTAACCCTGGAAGAAATCCCTCTCCTCCCCAAACCCCGCCTCTTCAGGCACCACCCCCAGTCCCCAGGTATCTCCCAGCCCACCGCTGGGAACTCTGTTTCTTGTCGTATTTGTTTCCTGCCTCCCCCACGGGGTGGATCTCATTGACAGGCTGCGGACACACTGAGGAACGGCCTGGAGGGAGGGACTGTTTCCCATTTTGTCTGGATCCAGACTGCAGGCAGAGGGTTCCCGTGGATGCTCGGCCCGCAGCCCATCCAGGGACTGGGTGGAACTAAGCAGGGGTCATTTCATAGAAAAAGAGGTGCAGGAGCTCATTACCATAACTTATTAGCATAGCTTATTTGCATATGCCATGCCCCCTGACATCACCGGAAGTGTGTCAGAAGGCAACACCCACCGCTCAGGCTCCACTGGACTGTTTTGGATGGCTAGCTATGGGGGGGGGGACACGCAGATCTGCCTTCACAGAGGAGGGAGAGCTTGTACCTGAATAAAACTTGGTCTTAAAGGTGCCACTGGACTGTTTTGGATTGCTAGCTATGGGAGGGCGGGACGCACAGATCTGCCCTCACAGTGGAGGGAGAGCTTGCACCTAAAGGCGGGCTGGGGGGGCTCTGCAACTTACCTGGCTGCTTCTTGCTCCTCGTGGCCCAACTGAGGGTTGCTGGGAGCAGGGGGCGGGGCCTGTTGCATGTGCCCACCCCCTGGGCTCCTTACTGCTGGAGCACCGCTCCTGTGTGCTCCCACAGGAAATGACCTCTGGAACTAAGCCTCCCCCCCTTCAAAATCACAGAGCCCCCTTTAGCCCTTTAAAGGACTTTTCTCATAGTACTGCTCTGCACTGGGGGTTGGCTGGGCGGGATCGGCAAAAAGGGAGACTCCGAGGACATGAGGAGGCCACCAGTGATTGTTGTCATGTTGGTGCTTGTGGGAAAAGGAAGGGTGCCCAGCAGGGACGCACCCTAATCCTGCCAACCCTCACTGAGGGCCTCACCAGTCTCTCTGCAGACCAGGCCTGTTGAAACTGATGTAAGCTAGAAAGGAAGAAAGAGCAGGGGGAAAAGCTGCAGGGGAAAAAAATATGAAAGGTGTAAGGTCTCATCTGATGAAACCTTGAGTGAAATGGTCTATTGAGTGCTGTACGTCAGAAAGACTTGAGACCGATTTATTTCAAAGGAAGCAACTTTAATGGTTCGTTACTCACTGGATAATTAAAGAATATCTATTTCCCCCTAAACATGACTCCGTTATCATAACAAGGCTGCTTTCCTACGCAGTTCAACTTCCAAGTGGTGGCTGGAGATCTCCTAGCATCACAATGTATCTCCAGATGACAGAGGTCAGTCCCCCTGGAGAATGCGACCGCTTTGGAAGGTGAATTCAATGTCATTATACTCCCAAACCCTGCCCTCCCCAGGCTCCACTCACAAAATCTCCATGAGTGTCCCAACCTGTAGCTGGCAGTCCTGCTGTTGACACTTGAAATGTGCGGCAGGTGAAAATGGCTCCTTTGAAAGGTAGATGGTATGCCAAGGTCCCTCCCCTCCCCAAACCTTGCCATCCACCAGGTTCCACCGCCCAGTCTCCAGGAATTTCTCAACCTGAAACTGGCAACCCTATGTAGAGGTTGGGGGGCAGGGTCAGAGAAGGGCCGTCCCATCTGTTCCTTTGGCCCCTTTGGGCAACCAGTTGGCGATTAGATGCTGGACTATCTTCAGGATGGTGAGAGGGCTGGAACCCAAGTCTTATGAGGAAAGGCTGAAAGAGTTGGGGATGTTTAGCCTGGGAAAGAGAAGGCTTCGAGGGGACATGATTGCAGTCTTCAAGTATTTGAAGGGCTGTCATGTAGAAGATGGAGCAGATCTATTCTCCCTTGCTCTGGATTGCAAGACTAGATCTAGTGGGGGGAAATTACAAGGGAGTCAATACCGGCTAAATATCAGGAGAGACTTCCTAACTGTCAGAGTGGTTGAGCAGTGGAGCAGACTGCCTCGGGAGGTGGTGGATGCTCCTTTGCTGGACGTTTTCAAGCGGAGGTTGGAAGACCATCTTTTGGGTGTGTTGTAGGGCTATCTTTCGGCTATGCTCCTGCAGAGTGCAGGGGGTTGGACTAGATGACCTCCGAGGTCCCTTCCAACATTCTATGATTCTATGAATCCTCATTGGTCTAACAGGGCAGAAGCTCTTCTTGAGTTCGTATCACCCTCGGAGCGTAACATCAATGGTAATGTATTTACTTTGCAGTAGTCTTTGACCATAATTTAAAAATTCCTTCGTCACCCTAGTGGATAGGCACAGACTCACCAGGTTGAATGGAGGTGCATTATATGCTTTATTATGCATGACAGACCAACACCACAACCAAATAAGTACATAATAAATGAAGAAAGGCAATGAAAATAGGAAAAATACAAATACCAATAACATAGAAAAAATATTCCATAAAAGAGCACATGGTCTATGGCTAGGGAATAAATTCAATTCTTCTCCAGCCCTGTTAGAAGACACTGGTTTGGGCCCTACTGGTTGACCTCCTAA